CTCACTTGAGCCCAGGAGTTGGAAGTTGCTGTGAGCTGAGATGCCATAGCATTCTACCCAGGGTGACAGCTTGAGGCTCTGCCTCAAAAAAAAAAAAAAAAAAAGAATGTATTTCCTGGGTAGCACCTGTGGCTCAGTGAGTAGGGCGCTGGCCCCATATACCAAGGGTGGCAGGTTTGAACCCAGCCTCAGTCAAACTGCAACAAAAAAATAGCCAGGTATTGTGGTGGGCACCTGTAATCCCGGCTACTTGGGAGGCTGAGAGATCACCTAAGCCCAGGAGTTGGAGGTTGCTGTGAGCTATGATGCCACAGCACTCTACCAAGGGTAATAAAATGAGACTGTCTCAAAAAAAGAAAAAAAAAGAATGTATTTCCCCAGCTACTTGGGAGGCTAAGGCAAGAGAATTGTTTAAGCCCAAGAGTTTGAGGTTGCTGTGAGCTGTGACGCCACAGTACTCTATTGAGGGCAACATAATGAGACTCTGTCTCAAAAAAAAAAAGAATGTATTTCCTGACTCCCTCAATGCCTAGTATACTGCAAATTCTCTTCATTATCAACTTCAGTGCTCAAGTAAGTGCCTAGCCATCCTCAGACCCTGAGAAGGAAGCAAGAGCAAACTCACACCAAACCAGCATTTCTCTGTAGCTGCTTTCTCAGCCACACAAACTCACGGTAGCGACGCCGAACACAGGAAGTCTTGGCAGTAAAGGCCTTACTGTTCGTCTATAGGAGAAATTACATGAAAAGGGTTTAGTGGAAAAAAGAACAAGTTCACATGAGCTCCCTCTCATCACTCTCCTGAATCATGCCGCAGTCCTCATCAGGACCCCCAAAAAGAGCAAGGTGCTACCAGGTACCTTGAAAACAACTCACAAGCACCCCTCAAGCTCTCTTTCCTCTCCTCCCTCCTTTTCTTCTTCTAAGTCTTCTGTCTTAGCAAAATCCCACAAAGAGGTTCCACCTCAACGTAAGCCCTCAGCCCTGGGGAGTGTTGACCCAAATACAGAAGCCTGAGATGCACTCACATGAAGGAATATTTTATAATCCACATAAGAATTCCAGGAGCCCTCATTCTGCACTCGGGGGTCCTGAACACGCACTGTGATCACCTCCTGTAAGTAAGAAATGCTCCTTTAGCTTCAGTTCAGCCACACAGCAAGGCAGCTTTGACAATACAGGTTGCCCAGTTTTTTT